CAAAAAAAAGAAAGAAAAAAGAACAAACAAAAAACAAAAAAGAAAAAGAAAGAAAAAGAAAAAAGAAGGAAGGAAATAATGAAAGTAAGAAGGAAAGACAGTGGATCCGTAGAAAGAAAGAAAGAAAGAAAGAAAGAAAGAAAGAACAAACAAAAAACAAACAAAGAAAAAAAAAGAAAACAAAAAAAAAAAGGAAAAACAGAAAAAAAAAAGAAGGAAGGAAATAATGAAAGAAAGAAAGGAAAGACAGTGGATCAGAAAGAAAAAAAGAAAAGGAAAGAAAGAAAGAAAGAAAGAAAGAAAGAAAGAAAGAAAAGAAAACAAACAAAAAAAAAAAAACAAAAAACAAAAAAAAAAAAAAAAAGAAAAAAAAGAAGGAAGGAAATAATGAAAGTAAGAAGGAAAGACAGTGGATCCGAAGAAAGAAAAAAGAAAAGAAAGAAAAGAAAGAAAAAAAAAAGAAAAACAAAAAAAACAAACAAAAAAAAAAGAAAGAAAAACAGAAAGGAAGGAAGGAAAAAGAAAGTAAGAAAAGAAAGAAAGAAAGAAAAAGAAAAGAAAGAAAGAAAAGAAAGAAAGAACAAAACAAAAACAAACAAAAAAAGAAAAAAAGAAAGAAAAAAAAAAAAGAAAAAAGAAGAAGAATGAAGAAAAAAAGGAAAGACGGTGGAAAAAAGAAAGAAAGAAAGAAAAAAAAAGAAAAAAAGAAAAACAAAAAAAAACAAACAAAAGAAAAAAAAAAGAAACAGAAAGAAAAAAAGAAGGAAGGAAATAATGAAAGTAAGAAGGAAAGACAGTGGATCCGTAGAAAGAAAGAAAGAAAGAAAGAAAGAAAGAAAGAAATAAAGAAAGAAAGAAAGAACAAACAAAAAAACAAACAAAGAAAAAAGAAAGAAAACAGAAAGAAAAAAAGAAGGAAGGAAATAATGAAAGTAAGAAGGAAAATTTCCGTAGAAAGAAAGAAAGAAAGAAAGAAAGAAAAAAAAGAAATTCTTGAAAAAAAACAAACAAAGAAAAAAGAAAGAAAAAGAAAGAAAAAAGAAGGAAGGAAATAATGAAAGAAAGAAGGTCAGGATCCGTAGAAAGAAAGAAAGAAAGAAAGAAAGAAAAGTCAAAAAAAAACAAAAAAAAAAAGAAAAGAAAAAAAAGAAAGAAGGAAATAATGAAAGAAAAGGAAAGACAGTGGTTCCAGAAAGAAAGAAACAAAAAAACAAAACAAGCAAAAAAAAAAAGAAAAAGAAAAGAAAGAAAACAGAAAGAAAAAAAAAGAAAGTAATGAAATAAGAAAGAAAGACAGTGGAAAGTAGAAATGTTCTTTGAAAAAAAAGAAAAGAAAGATTTTCCTGGTCTATCGCTAAAGAAAAAGAAAGAATGTGAAATAGACTTCATGTCTGAAAAAAAAACGCAAACAAGAATTCAAACCCCCAGTGCAAGGTCTCATTTCTAGAAAGATTGGAAAAGAAAGAAAGAAAAGAAAAACGCAGTCTTAGATTGGCGGCAAGGTCTCATTATTTAAGTGTTGAAATGGCTAATTTTACCCATTAACGGTTTCGTCTATCGCATTGGCGGAAGGTCTCAAAGTGTTGAAAGCTAATTTAAATTTATCTGGAAAGAAACTTTTTGATCTGCAAAGGTAAAGCAAAATCCAAAGAGTTTTCTCAAATTCTCTTTGACTTGCAAAAGGTAAAATGATTAAAAAAGGAAGAAAATAGAACAAGACAAAAAGAAAAATAACAAGAAAGAAACGAATTAAGAATAAAACAAACAAATTTATTTTTGTTCTTTTGAAAGTAAAGAAGAAAAAAAAAAGGAGAAGAATAAATGTCTGGAATGAAGAAAGACAGATCGAGCGAAAATACAAAGAAAGAAAGAAATAAAGAAAGGAAAGAAAGAAAGAAAGAAAACAAAACAAACAAACAAGCAAAGAAAAGAAAGAAAGAAAATGGAAGAAAAAACAGAAAAAAAAAAAGGAAGAAAAAATGAAAAAGAAAGAAAGACAGTGGATCCGAAAGAAAGAAAAAAGAAAGAAAAAAAGAAAGAAAGAAAAAAGAAAAAGAAAAGAAAACAAACAAAACAAAGAAAAAAAAGAAAGAATATGTGAAGAAAAAAAAAAGGAAGAAAGTAATGAAAAAGAAAGAAAGAAGGATCCAGAAAGAAAGAAAGAAAAAGAAAAGAAAAAAAGAAAGAAAGAAAAAATGAAAGAAAGAAAGAAAAACAAAAAAAAACAAAGAAAAAAAGAAAGTGAAAAGAAAGTAATGAAAAAGAAAAAAAAGAAAAAAGAAAGAAAGAAAGAAAGAAAAAAAGAAAAGAAAAAGAAAGAAAACAAACAAGGAAAGAAAAAAAAGAAAGAAAAAAATGTGAAGAAAAAAACAAAAGAAAAAAAAGGAAGAAAGTAAATGAAATAAGAAAAAAAAGGAAAGAAAGAAAGAAAGAAAGAAAGAAAAGAAAAAAAAGAAAGAAAAATGAAAAAAGAAAGAAAAAAACAAAACAAGCAAAGAAAAAGAAAAAGAAAGAATATGTGAAGAAAGAAAAAGAAAGAAAGTAATGAAATAAGAAAGAAAAGTGGAAAGAAAGAAAGAAAGAAAGAAAGAAAGAAAGAAAGAAAAAAGAAAGAAAGAAAACAAACAAAAAGCAAAAGAAAAGAAAGAAAGAATATGTGAAGAAAAGAAAAAAAAAAAGAAGAAAAAAAAGAAGAAAGAAAGAAGATCCGTAGAAAGAAAAAGAAAGAAAGAAAGAAAGAAAGAAAGAAAAAAAGAAAGAAAGAAAGAAAAAAAAAACAAACAAACAAGCAAAAGAAAAGAAAGAAAGAAAATGTGAAGAAAAAAAAAAAGGAAAAAAAAAAAAGGAAGAAAGTAAAGAAAGAAAAGAAAGAAAGAAAGAAAGTGAAAGAAATCCAAACAAGAAAGAAAGAAAGAAATGAAAGAAAGAAAAAAAAGAAAGAAAAAAAAGAAAGAAAAAAAGAAAAAGAAAAAAAGAAAGAAAGAAAAACAATCTTCAAGCAAAAGAAAGAAAGAAAGAAAAAGAAAAAAAAGAAAAAAAAGAAAAAGAAAGAAAAAAGGAAGAAAGTAATGAAATAAGAAAGAAAGACAGTGGATCCGTAGAAAGAAAGAAAGAAAGAAAGAAAGAAAGAAAGAAAGAAAGAAAAAATGAAAGAAAGAAAGAAAACAAACAAACAAGCAAAGAAAAGAAAGAAAGAATATGTGAAGAAAGAAAAAAAGGAAGAAAGTAATGAAATAAGAAAGAAAGACAGTGGATCCGTAGAAAGAAAGAAAGAAAGAAAGAAAGAAAGAAAGAAAGAAAGAAAGAAAAATGAAAGAAAGAAAGAAAACAAACAAACAAGCAAAGAAAAGAAAGAAAGAATATGTGAAGAAAGAAAAAAAGGAAGAAAGTAAGAAATAAGAAAGAAAGACAGTGGAGTAGAAAGAAAAAAGAAAGAAAGAAAGAAAGAAAGAAAATGAAAGAAAGAAAGAAAACAAACAAACAAGCAAAGAAAAGAAAGAAAGAATATGTGAAGAAAGAAAAAAAGGAAGAAAGTAATGAAAAAGAAAAAAAGAAAGAAAGAAAAGAAAGAAAGAAAGAAAGAAAAAAAAAAACTTGGAAAACAAACAAACAATCCAAAGAAAAGAAAGAAAGAAAGAAAGAAAAAAGGAAGAAAGTAATGAAAAAGAAAAGAAAGACAATAGAAAAAGAAAGAAAAAAGAAAGAAAGAAAAAAAGAAAGAAACAAAAGAAAGAAAGAAAGAAAGAAAACAAAAAAGAAAGAAAAGAAAGAAAGAAAAAAAAAAAAAAAATGAAATAAGAAAGAAAGACAGTGGATCCGAAGAAAGAAAGAAAAAGAAAGAAAGAAAGAGAAAGAAAAGAAAGAAAGAAAGAAAAAATGAAAGAAAGAAAAAAAGAAAAAACAAAAAAAAAAACAAGCAAAGAAAAGAAAGAAAGAATAGAAGAAAGAAAACAGAAAGAAAAAAAGGAAGAAAGTAATGAAATAAGAAAGATTAAGAAAGAAAGAAAGAAAGAAAGAAAGAAAGAAAGAAAAAATGAAAGAAAGAAAGAAAACAAACAAACAAGCAAAGCAAAGAAAGAAAGAATCTAAAGAAAGAAATTAAAGAAAGAAAGAAAAAAGGAAAGTGTTTAAAAATGAAAGAAAGAAAAAAAAATGGCGTCAAGAAAAAGAAAAGAAAGAAAGAATATGTGAAGAAAGAAAAAAAAAGTAAAAAAATAAGAAAAGAAAGACAGTGGGATTAGAATTGAAAAAGAAAGAAAAAGAAAAAAAAAAAAAGAAAAGAAAAAAAATGAAAAAAAGAAAAAGTGGACCGAAAGAAAGAAAAGAAAAAAAAAAAAGTAAAAGCAAAAAAAGAAACGTATATAAAAAACTGTTTGGGAAGGAGAGAGGGCGAAATTCTGGGGTTGAATCATTCGCCTGGAGTCGTTTGGATTTTAAACTTCATCGAAAAAACCCAACAAACAAAATGAAAAAACGCAGACGAGAAAAAAAAGGTAAAAATCGGTTTTCAGGAGAGAGGGCGCTTTGTTGCTTTTTCTCAAACCATCCGCTTTTTGTCAAAAAGCGTCATTCATTCAGTCAGCTTGATGGACCGTCCTTCTGTCTGTCTGTCTGTCTATCTATCTGTCTGTCTGTCTGTATGTCTCTCTCGCTCTTTCTCTCTCTCTCTCTGTTCGTCTGACTGCTCGACTGGCCGTCAGTCTGTTCGGACGTATTCTATCTGTTCAGCTGCCAGTTAGCCTCTTCCCGCCCACACTAAAATGCTGTTCATCACTTATGTAGAAATCAGGGGCTGCGTCTCACACCACCTACGTCTTAAGAACAAATAATGAGGCAACAGACACACAGGGAAACACAGATAAGCGTACGTGCAATAAGCTGGAAACACTGAACTGGATGATTTCTGTTTTTTGGGGTTTTTTTTTTTCTAATCATCCTTCTTTCTTTCTTTCTTTTTTTCTTTCTTTCTTTCTTTCTTTCTTTTTTTCTTTCTTTCTTTCTTTCTTTCTTTTCTGTTATTTTCCTTTGCAGTTTTTTAGATCTCATGCAATCATTCGTTTAGATGTTTTATGTTTTGTCTTCTTTCTTTCTTTTTTTTTTTTTTTCTTTTTTCTTTCTTTCTGTGGTTCACTTTTTCTTTCATTTACTTTTCTTTCTTTTTCTTTCGTTCTTCTAATCAACAGCCTTTATTTTTATTTTTCCTTTCTTTTGTTTTTTATCCAATCCGTTTCTTTCTTTCTTTCTTTCTTTCTTTCTTTCTTTCTTTCTTTCTTTCTTTCTTTTGTTATTTCCTTTGTATCTATTTAGATCTCATGCTAGCATTCATTCAGATCTTTTTACCTTTTTGGTTCTTTTTTCTTTCTTTCTTTCTTTTTTTTTTTTTTTTTTCTTTTCTTTCTTTTTCTTTTTTTTTCTTTTTTCTTTCAGCAATTTTTCTTACTTTCTTTCTTTCTTTCTTTTCTCTTTCTTTTTTCTTTCTTTCTTTCTTTCTTTCTTTCTTTATTTCAATGTGGATCATTTTTCTTTCATTTACTTTTCTTTCTTTTTCTTTCGTTCTTTTAATCAACAGCCTTTATTTTTATTTTTCCTTTCTTTCGTTTTTTATCCAATCCGTTTCTTTCTTTCTTTCTTTCTTTCTTTCTTTCTTTCTTTCTTTCTTATTTCATTTGTATCTATTTAGATCTCATGCTAGCATTCATTCAGATCTTTTACCTTTTGGTTCTTTTTTTCTTTCTTTCTTTTCTCTTTCTTTTTTTTTTCTTTTTTCTTTCTTTCTGTATTTCAATGTGCTTCACTTTTTCTTTCACTTACTCTTCTTTCTTTTTCTTTCGTTCTTTTAATCAACAGCCTTTATTTTTATTTTTCCTTTCTTTCGTTTTTTATCCAATCCAGTTCTTTCTTTCTTTCTTTCTTTCTTTCTTTCTTTTCTTTTCTCTTTCTTTTTTCTTTCTTTCTGTATTTCATTGTGGTTCACTTTTTCTTTCATTTATTTTTCTTTCTTTTTCTTTCGATCTTCTAATCAAAAGACTTTTTTATTTTTTCTTTCTTTCGTTTTTTATCCATTTCTTTCTTTCTTTCTTTCTTGTTATTTATCTATCAAGTGTGCTAACAGAGAACCGAGGCGCATTGGGATCTGGGTATGATGATAAATTACATCCGGCAGCAAGGTTTCTGATCGGGAGGTTTTGAGCAGCGTGGAAACACCTCTTCATTGCTGCTGTTCCCAGGTTCACCCTAACCCGGGGTGGTAACACTTGTTAGGGTCCCAGCTATGGGCAATTAGTGACCCCCTACACACACACACAAAGAAAAAACACTATGAAACTATAAATATATATTTTAATAGTAAAAATACCAGCAGTACATTTTCATATAAATTTCATACATATTAAACATAGCACGAAAAACTAGATCAGTTAACCCCAGTGAGCGAAATAAAGTGTTCAGTTCGACATTCCAACAACCTGGAGAAGGCCGGAGCGTACAACGGCCGAAACGTTGTAATAAATATGACGACAGATGAGGACAATAGTACGAATAATGTAAATACGGTACATAATACTTCATCTCAGAAATATAGACAGATACAAAACAAAACACATATCGCCTCTAATAATCATGTCCACCCCGATATGTATATGCACAAAAGCTGAGTATCATCTACCATGTATTCAATTGCGAGAGCAGAATAAAATATGTTTTTATTATTTAATGCTCCTAAGAAAATAAAAATTTCGGCATTAAATGTCACATAAGTAGTCGATAAAACCGTTAAACAAATGAATTCCTCCTACATGTCAGTGAATGCTGGACAATCTTATCAAAGATAATAGAAAAAAAAAACTTGAAGCAACAGAAATGTCGTTCTACAGAAAGCTGCTGAGGATACCATATACAGAACATGTGAACCTTTAAATAAAATGAAAACAAAAAGCAAACTTTTTAACATCAGGAAGAGACAACTGAAATTTCTAGAGCACATAATGAAGAAAGTAGGCTTGGAAAATATGCTACTCACAGGACAGATTGAAGGCAAGAGGGACAGAAGAAAACAACGCATAACATAGCGAGCTCATGTAAAAGGATTAGGATATATAACAAAAAGACAACAGTTAAAAGCCACGAAGGACAGGAAATTGTGGAGAGCCATGATCGTCTACGGCCTGAAGAGGTATGTTACATAGACGAATGTCAGCCAGACACTATCACTAACCATTAACCAAAGCCAGCCTTTTCGGAGGAGATTGGACAAGAAAATACGCAAGAGCGTTTTGTGGAAATTATCAATGGAAATATGCAGACGATAAGTTGTAAGAGCAAGTCGCACATTGAGAGAAAAGAGAGAGAGAGAGAGAGAGAGCTTGTGTTTCGAGAGGGATGGAGTGAGAGAAAATACACACACACACACACACACACACACACACACACACGTACAGAAATACATTCAGAGAAATAAACATGTCGGCACACAAAGAGAAATTAAAACAAACATCCCCTTTCAGCCATGGAGGAACACACGCGAAATGTCGGAAAAGCTCATTGTAAGGAAGCTGAATTTATTGACAGACAAAATGGCAGCACTGAGAGGTCATAAACATTTCTTGGTCTTCGCACATTCCAATGCCATATAATGGCAGAATATTAATAAACAATAAAGAGACGAACGCATCTAGATTTTCAAATGTTTCTAACAGAGATGTTAAGTGATGAGAATAGATTGATATTTCCTTGTATGGCACAAGGATACTTCCTTGTATGGCACAAGGATATAAATGATGAGAATAAATTGATATTTCTTTGTATGGCACAAGGATATTTCCTTGTGTGGCCCAAGGATATAAGGGATGAGTATAGATTGATATTTCCTTGTATGGCAGAAGGATATTTTCTTGTATGGCCCAAGAATACAATTGATGAGAATAGATTGATATTTCCTTGTATGGCACAAGGATATTTTCTTGCATAGCACAAGGATATAAGTGATGAGAATAGATTGATATTTCCTTTTATGGCACAAGGATATTTTCTTGTATGGCACAAGGATATAAGTGATAAGAATAGATTGATATTTCGTTGTATGACACAAGCATATTTCCTTGTATGTCACAAGGATACAATTGATGAGAATAGATTTATATTTCCTTGTATGGCACAAGGATATTTCCTTGCATGGCACAAGGTTATAAGTGATGAGAATAGATTTATATTTCCTTGTATGGCACAAGGATATTTTCTTGCATGGCACAAGGATACAATTGATGAGAATAGATTGATATTTCCTTGTATGGCACTTGATATTTCCTTGTAGGGCACAAGGATATAAATGATGAGAATAGATTGACATTGTGACACTATTTAGCTATGGTAATTGGCTAACTAATTAAGCATGGAAATTAAAAGCGAGAAATACTTAAGGCGAGAAAAAGCTATAACGAAGGACATACTGAGAGATGTTATCTTTTTTTTGACAAAAATGGGTAAAGATTTTATTTTAAATCAAAGCAGTTGCTTCGGTAACCAGACGTTACAAGCGAGCTGGGAACGACAAAGCTGATATCGAATCTAACCAAACATCGACCGCGACCAAGACAACCAGAGGGGTTAGTGTCACACATGGTTCCGTGGTAAACTAGATTTCCATCCGAAACAAGCCAAGGGTTAGATCGTCACATGATATCACAGGAGCATAGACCGGGGTGACGTCAGAATATTTCCTTGTATATGATTGAGAAGAGATTGATATGTCCTTGTATGTAATGAGAATAGATTCCTTTATATGGCACAAGGATATAAGTGATGAGAATAGATTGATATTTCCTTGTATGTGGTGAGAATAGATTGATATTTCCTTGCATGTCACAAGGATTTTTCCTAGTAGGGCACAAGGCTAAAAAGGCTGCCGCCTCCCTTTTTCTTTGGGGTGGTCTCAGCTGATCCCTTTCTTGATCGGTGCTCGACCTAAATCTGATTATCTTTTAGCATTCTGCTTTGTAAGCCACTTGACCAATTTGAAATTTTCATTATTGCCATGGGCAGATTGCTATCTTTTATTCACCGCGCCATAGCATAAATTATCTGACATGTTACTGCGTCATACATATGTAGTATGTTTTGCTGTCAATTTGGTTTATGGATATCGCCTTTAAAAGTGAAATCGGAGAGCTGTGATCGATTTGCACTTCGTTGGGTTCACTTACACGCAAATACCCTCGGGAAAAGTATGGATACATCTCTTCATCTCTCAGATATGGGTTGAATAGCAGGTCTAGAAGGAGTCCTATAGCCTTGGTTGATAACCAGTCTACTGCGGAAAGAAACAGGAAAATCTTCTGCTGAGTCAGTCATGAATCGAAAGAGACAAGATCACTCAAGCGTGTATCCATTATGTAGTTATGGGTGTGTTCCGCCATTT